CATGTATCCCAGGCTGGTGTTTAATTTTCTAGGTAGCGGAGGACTGCTCTGAACTGCTAATCCTGCCTCAAGTGCTGGGATGCCAGGCACGTAACAACACCCCACTTGACTCGACACATTTATTTTCTAATGACTTATTACGTAACCTGCCCTTTTGAGTTAAGATTAGCAATACTGATGCTGTCAAGACTTTTTTGATCTTCACAACTACATCATTGAAATGTGACTCAAGACGAAGCAGATTCTCCTCTCTACAACTCAGACGGAGCTGGCTTGGAGAGATCACAGTGAGGCTAGGATTTATGTCTTCCTTTTGCAGGGGTGGTCAATGACGGCCAGAGAGCCAGGTCCGGTCATGCTCATTTCAGTCTTGTCTGTGGTTGCTTTCCTTTCTGCAGTGACAGAAACCAAAAGACTTGCCAAACCTAGAGACCCTGACTCTCTGGCTCTGGTCAGGAAAGTCTGACTGACCTCTGCTCTTGCTCTTTTAATCCTATATCGCCTTGGGACTAGTATGTCCCTGCGCCTGAAGGTTTCTAGCCAACTAAAAGAGTTCAACTGAATTCAGTTCCAAACAAATGCCAGAACTGAAGAGCTAGTCAGTCAGGTGTGATGGTGTATGCCTGTAGTGGAGACAGGGGGACTCCAAGTTCAAAGTCATTCTGGAGTGCTAAGGGAGCTCTAGGCAAGTCTGGGACATGTCAGACCCTGTCTCAAAATAAAATAAAGACTGGAAATATGGCTCAGCAGTTAAAAGCACTTGCTGCTTTTCCAGAGGACCTGAGTTCAGTTTCTGGCTCCCATGTTGGGTGGCTCACAACCACCTGTAACTTCAGCTCTCAGAGACCTGACACTCTTTTGGACTCTGCAGGTACCCATACACAGGTGCATAAACACACAGAGACACATAAGGAAAAAATAAAATTAGTAAATAACTAATGGGCACTCAGGTTCTTTCCTTTAAAAAAAATGAAAAAAAAAATATGAGGCTGGAAAGATGGCTCAGCACTTAAGAACACTGGCTGCTCTTCCAGAGGACCTGGGTTCAATTCTAAGCACCCACATGGCAGCTCACAACTGTCTGCAATTCCAGTTGCAGCTGATCTGACATCCTCACACAGATATACATGCAGGCAAAACACCAATGTATGTAAAATAAAAATAAACCATTTAAAATTTTTTCTTTGGGGAGAGTTGGCAGAAAACAGTACAACTCAGTGCCTGATTTCAGGGCTTAATGTCATATGACTTGTTTATCTGATTCTTGGGGGAGTTCCAGGGCATAACAGCCTCTGTTCTCTGAGAAGAGACCCGCCCAGCTCATCCTCAGAGGCTCCCTGACCCTTCTGCACAGCCTCCCTGTGAGCTGGCTGGAAGTCATTCCTGGGGTGGCGTGGAGGGTAACCGTTTGCTGCCAGCAAACTGTCCTTCCCAGAACGCCTCCTGTATCCCTTCCTACTCTCCCAGCAGCCCTCACTCCAGGCTGCTGACCTTGGATTTCCCAAACTGTATAAACAACACCAAATGGGACAGTACATTCCTAAAGGAAATTCTTGGCAGACAACAGAAGACAGCTCCAGCACATAAAAATGATTACGTATGCATTGTCCCTTTCTTTCCTTCCTTCTTTCTTTCTTTCTCTTCCCCACTCCCACTTTTTTTTTTTCTTGAGACAGGGTTTCTCTGTGTAGCCCTGGCTGTCTTAGAACTCACTCTGTAGACCAGGCTGGCCTCGAACTCACAGAGATCCGCTTGCCTCTGCCTTCAGAGTGCTGGGATTAAAGTCGTGTGCCACCAGTGCCCAGCCCACTTTCATTTTTGAAACAGGGTCTTGCATAGCTCAGGCTGGCCTTGAACGCACTATGTAGCTGAGGATAAACTTCAACTTCTGATCCTCTTGTTTGTACCTGAGTGCTGGGAGTTATGTTTCTTTGTGTGTTTGTGCACATGCGCACATGTATGCCGTGGTGTGCGTGTGGAGGTTGGAGGACAACGTTCAGGAGTTGGTTCTCTCCTACCATGTGGGCTCCAGCGTTTAAACACAGGTTAGTGGCAAGTGCCTTGACCTGATGAGTCATCTCATTGGCCCAAGTTTTATTTTGATGATTACCACATTATCCAGTTAATATGTCACTGGGGGTCGAACCCAGGGCTTAGTGCATGGTAGGCACTCTACCAACTAAACTACAACTTCAACTCTTTTTTTTTTTTAATCTCTCAGATGTATTCCAATCTGGCCTCAAACTCTTCCTGCCTCAGTTTCCTAAGTGCAAGGGTTGCAGGCCATTGCCACCTTACTCAAATTTTCATTAGCTTGTCAGAATGTCTACTCCATGCTCCTTAGCTACGTGATTTTTTTCACACAGACTCCTAAGGGAGAAGAGGCCCTCTGGCAGAGTGGATAAATGAAGAAAATTGATCCAGTGAACCAACCTTGGGCCTGCTCAGATTTCTTGTCATGTATGATAAAATTCTTTTGTTACCTGAACCAAAATTTGGTTGCAATTTCTGTTGCCATGGAAACACTCTAATTGTCATAAGGAGGAGAGGAAATTGGTTAGGTTGGTGGGTTTTGTTTGTTTTTTTCTCCCTTGACAGGACTTCAAAAAGTCCAGGCTGGCCTCTAACTCATTATGTAACTGAGGAGGACCTTCTGCATCCATGTCCCAAGTGCTGGGATACCAGGTCAGGTCTGCGTCTCCACGCCCTGGCTTCATTTTCCATTTCTGTCAAAAGTATGAGAACACATGAGGAACTCAGTGAGAAAGTAGTTTAAAAAGCTAAAATCTGGGCTGGAGAGATGACTCAGTGGTTAAGTGCACTTCTTGCTCTCTCCTCGGACCTGAGTTCTCATCCCAGCCCGCTCATTGGGCAGCATAAGGCACCTTAACTTCAGCTCCAGGGGATCTGATGCCCTCTTCTGGCTTCCAAGGGTACTGCACATCCACAAAGCAGCACGAAAGCCTGACTGACATCAGCGTCTTCATTTTGTCGGTCTCCTTTTCTTTGTGTCAGAGTCCTGGTTGATTCTACATGGGCATGTTTGTTCCGTGAGTTATCTGCCTAAACATATCCCAGTCCCCTCACCATTGAAAGCAAAAAGATGACTGAGACATCTCACTGTCCACTTTTGACAATGTCCTATTTTGGGTGCTCCTCACGGTGTTCAGTCATTGTTCTAAGTCTTCAAGTCACCTTGGATTCTAGCAACAGCAGATACTCACAAATAGACACCCACCCACAGCCCCTGGAGCGATTGCCCATGATGGTGAGGCCACAGCCGGAGCAGGATGATAATCCTTGTCTCAAGCTTAAAGGATTTCTTTGGACTGCCTTACAGAGTTGAAACCAAGATAGCCCACACCTTGACTGGGCTGCTTCGTTATGCATAGCCCTACTCTTCTGCCCCAATTCATCTGCTGAAATCTTCATGTCAGTTTTCAAATGAACTTGGAGGTAACAGGACTCCTTCACCGTTTCCTCTTCCCAGTGTGGCCATGTTGATTAAATCTCTGATTTTCTCTTTATGTGGTTTACCGGAACAGGAGACAAATCCTGTTGGAGCTGCTGAGAGGCACAGGGCTTTTTCTGAAGGAGCCTCCCTCAACAGAGGTCACAGTCACCCAGTGACTGAGGTGTTTTGCATCAAGTGGGTCATCTGGCTAGCTGGGAAGATCCTTCTGGAAGAGCCTGTTTCCAGCTGTGTCCTGGTGCAGAGGTAATGATACCATCATGGTGAGGTCATCTAGAGTGGCAGGTGTGGATTCTTTTTCTCTGTCCAGTCCAAAGAATGAGAAAGCAGGGAGGGCAAGGCAAGGACTCAGCAGTCAGCCACGTTTTATTGAAGTCACACACACAGGGAAGAAGGGAGTCAGAAATTCAGCCTAAAGGAGGACTTGAGTCTTTTAGTGATATAGGGCGGATCTCCATCCCCTTATACCTGATTGGTCAATTTAAATAAACAGGAGGGAGCTGATAGACCCATAACATCATGAAAGCCATGGCATGTCTGGGCAGGTCTAAGTGAGATGGGGGACCTTGCTTGTGGGGAGGGGTTAGGGGGTAGGTTCGCGATTGCTGGCTTTTGCTCTTGGTGAAGCGCCTGCTGTGTTTGCCATCTTGTTGTCTACCTATAGGGCTTCTTTGCCAACCTGTCAGGAGGCGCTGTCATTCATTGATCTCAATGGTTCCTATTTGGGGTTTTCTTTTTTTTTTCCCCCTCTGTGGTTTTTATTTTATTTTTTTTCATGTGTGTGTGTGTGTGTTCCCTCTTGCAACCCAAGATGGCCTCAAACATGCTACTTAGCCGAGGCTGGCCTTGACTCCTGTCACCACCTCCCAAGTACTGGGATTACAGTATGAATCACCATGCCCAACTCTATCATTATTATTATTATTATTATTATTATTATTATTATTATTATTATTATTATTATTAGATACAAGAGTTGAATTCTCAGAAATCCTTCTGTCTAAGCCTCCCAAGTCGCTGCGATTAAAAATGTGAGCCACCAAGCCTGGTTTTTTTTTTTTTTTCCTTCAGATTCCTGTGTGAGTCCACGCCTAGCACAGCAGCCATGCCCTTGTGGTTCCAGAAGGGCCAGCCACGTTGTTGCAGGGCTCGATTTCCATCTTCTCCACCGCCTGTATCTTCAGCCCTCCTCGACATAGCCTCAGAGACACCCTGCCCAGGCCTCTCTTTCCTATGGAGCAAACCAGCTAGAACTGGGTGGGTGCTTGCCCAGGACGCACAAGGCCGGTGAAGATGAAGCGGCCTGGAGCTTCGCGCCCGCTAATGAGAGAGCCAATGAAAACCCGGCCGAGGCGCTGCCCCTATGAGCGAGCTTCCTGCCAACCAGGGGGCGGAGCCACCGAGGGCACAGCCAATAGCAGGAAGCAATTGGGTGGTTGGTCCTTGCGGTGGCCGCGCCCCGGACCAGCGCTGTCGTTGAGCATCGGGAGTGCAGAGCGCGTGCCCGTTAGTTATTTGGCCAATCACTCCGGCTCAAGTGTTTCCTCTATGGCTGGACCAGACCTTTAACAATCAGGGCGGGGCTAAGTCGCACTCTACCAATAGCAGGAGGCGGCCGGGTCAGGCCAGAGATGCTCCCTGCGCTGTGATCGCTGAGGAAAGACAAGTCCGCGCAGAGAAACCGCTGCCCTAGGTAAGCGGCCTGGACCGAGAGGGAGGCAGCGCTGCCCGTTAGTCAGAGAGCCAATCAGAGTGGAACAAGCCAAGCCAACGACCAACAGCCACCCCGCCTCGAGGCCAAACGTATCTCTCCTCTGATTGGGCGATGTCCGTGCCAATCACAGCGGGAGCCACGAAATCTCGGCCAATAGCAAGAAGCGCCCGGCTCCGATTTGCGGCGCCGGGTCCACGCGGTGGTTGCGATCGAGGTCGGCGCTTGGTGATCACCTCCCCTTAAGCCAAACCCCCGGAGCAGGCCGGCGTCGCGCGCGCTTGTCAGTCAGAGAGCCAATCAGAGTTGGGTAAGCCCGCGGCCCCTGCGGCTGCAGGCCGAACTGTTTCCTCTGTGATTGGGCGAGCCGCCTGACAATCAGGGCGGAGCCAGCGAAGGCTCGGCCAATAGCAGGAGGCGGCCAGGTCAGCCCTGCGACTAACTGTAGGCGCGGTGGTCGTTAGACTGTTGGGAGGCTGCACCCACGACACCCTACCTGCGCGCAGGCCCTCGGCGTCTAGCGCCCGCCGGCGGCCCATCTCGTCATGTCAGGCCCTGCTTGGATTTAGTTCTTCAGGCCTCCGCCCACCCGCCTACCCGAAGCCGCGCCCACCGCCCAGAGCCAGAGGGATGGTGGTAGTCACCGGGCGGGAGCCAGACAGCCGTCACTCGGACGGTGCCATGTCCAGCTCCGAAGCCGAAGACGACTTCCTGGAGCCGGCCACTCCTACGGCCACGCAGGCGGGGCACGGGCTGCCCCTGCTGCCCCAGGAGGTACCTGGACCGAGCGATGGGGGGAAGGGAGGACGTGATGGGAAGCACGGGAGAGACCGGTGCCTTGTAGAACTGACCTTGGGAGGTGAGCCTCCCCAAGGAGCTAGCCACCCCTGATGCTACTCCTGCGCTAGGTGTGTCCTCCCTGCCCGGGGTCACCTGCACCACTCCTTCCCACTCTCTGTAGCTACCAGGATGTTCAATTTCATCCCTGTATCCTGTCTCACCTTTATCAACTAGAGGAGGACTCCGGACTCCTCAGCACAGAGCATGTTCCATACAATCCAAAAGGAGGCCCTGGGTTGCCCAGGTGTATTCGCCAGCTGTCTAGAGAGTGGTGGAAAAAGCTGTGTTCAGATAAACTGGTCGGTGCCTTGGTCTGATTTAGGAAAAGGACACACCCGAGCGGGCCGACCACTCCCATCCAGTTGCTTTCCTGCAGTGAACAACCGTCGTTACCACATGGGGCAATTAATTTCATTTGCTAGATGGATAGGAATGAGTGGTTGAGCATTTGGGGCAAAGAAAACAGCATGAACGAGGACATAAAGGTGATAAATTCGGGAAATAGGAGGCCTGAACTCTAGAGCAGAGATGGTGGGATCGGGGTCCTCGATCGTCTGTTGCTGTACTGTGGCACACCGTGGCTTCATTAGTAGTCCTTCATGTGGGTGACACTTTGCACCTGAAATGACCCTCGAGATGAAACAGGAAGATGAATACAGAAGTGGAGACTCAGCAGACAGGGTTGTCTGAAGGGGCTGGCTGGGTGAGGCTCTCAGGCAGCAGATGCTGTAGAATACTTGGTGTTAGGGGTTAGAAGCCCCGAATTGCCAGCATCGTGGGAAACTTGTGAAAATCAGCAAAATTCTAGACATAACTCTGCAGTCGGGGAAAACAGCCAATAGAGACACAGAGGTGCTATTGTGTGTGTGTGTGTGTGTGTGTGTGTGCGCGCTGTCATTGGGCAAAAGATGTGGTTTGAGGGAAAAGGCACACAACCTCACAGACTGCATGCCAGGTGTTCACTCCCAGCTTCCTATGAATCACATCTCTCCATGCAATATCTAGAACTCTGTTCAGTTTTTTGTTTCACATATGGTACCAAGAAGTGGATTAGTATGAACTACCTCTAAAAAAGAACTCCAGAAGTGCATAGCAGTATACTAAAATGAGATCTGATTGACATGTACCGAGAATGGGTTTAGAGTTTCTGGAGAAAAGCAGGAGGCATTTTGCACTGTAAGAGTTGAATTTGCTGGGCGTGGTGAGTTCAAGGCCAGCCTGGTGTGACTAGTGAGTTCCAGGACAGCCAGGGCTGCAAAGTCAGACTCAGTCTCAAAACCAGACTTGAGTTCATACTTAGAAATGTAAATCCTGCGTGTTTCATTAATTGATTTTGTGAAATTTAGTTTTTACTGTAAGGCAGGTCTTAGGTAAATAAGCTTTATTTCATCATTTGTGCCGTTTTTTTTTTTTTTTTTTTTTTTTTTTTCATGAGACAGGGCCTCTCTATGTGGCCCTGATTAGCCTATCTCACTATGCAGAACCAGGCTGGCCTCATAGAGATTATCCAGCCTCTGCCTCCCAAGTGCTGGGATCAAAGGTGTGTACCACCATGCCCAACTGTGTACTTTCTGGTTTTTTTTTTTAATTATTTATTTAATTTTATTTTATGTGCATTGGTATGAATGTGTGGGATCTCCTGGAACTGAAGTTACAGACAGTTGTGAACTGCCATGTGGTTGCTGGGAATTGAACCGGGGTCCTCTGGAAGAGCAGCCAGTGCTCTTAACCGCTGAGCCATCTCTCCAGCCCCCTTTCTGTTTTTTTTAAACAAACGATTTGTGAAAACTGGGGGAAAGGACTGTTTAGATACATATATAGACTTTAGACTTTCACCATAGCTTGAGTGATGTTATAACATTGAAAAAGACATAAAATTGATGCTGGGATAAAATTTTAGTCGATTTGGAGGCAGTTTGTGGGAAAGTTTGACCTGGAAACAGTTCTTTCACATATAGTTTGGCGAAAATAGAGCACCGAAAGTTTTTTTTTTTTAATTCTCGAGCATTTGAAGAAGGGGCCCTTATGAGGGTCCCAAGGCTAACCTTTACCCTCATTTTCCTGTCCTCACTTAGCCCTTGCCACCAGAACCTTAGTTGACTTGGAGACTAAGCAATCACTACAGACCGAGCAGGAGAGGGATGGAGTGAGGTGGATACTGAGGATTGGGGGTACTGAGAGCAAAGCTCAGCGGTAGAGCTCCTGCATAGCATGTGAAGTCTCTGGATAAAAAGAAAAGATTGAGGACTGAATGCCTCGGTGCATTCAAAAAACAGCTCTTGGTCTCTGTTCACAACTGGCAAGCACACACCGTCTTTGTGTCTGTGGGATGCCTGGCATCTAGTAAAATGGGTTCACAGGGAAGTGATTGCCATTGTATTGTTCTAGTGTGGCATGTTGTGAAGGCATGATGGAGGAATATGTACATAATTCTGTCTTAGGAACATATGAAGGATGATAGAGCAGTAGTGGTCACAGAAACCCAGAGAATAAACCAATGTTGCTAACTCATCCAGTGCCTTGGTGTAAATTAGACAAGGCCACACACCTGGGTTGACAGGCGACGCTCATCCAGGTGCTTACACAGTCAACAACCTGTACCACTGCATTTGGCAATTTCATTTGCTAGCTGGACAGGAGGAGGCCGGTAAGAGCGTTGGTGGCCAAGGAGACAGCATGAATAAGGACATAGAGATGATGAGTTCAGGAAGGAGATGCTGAAGGCTGAGCAGAGGTTGTGGGGTTGGGTTGAAGGGAGACCTGATTTAAGAGCTATCAGGCGGAACGAGCAGGACTTGGTGGTTGATGCTCAAGGAAAGAGGACAAAAAGACTGTGTTCAGATGGTCCCTGAGTCTGAATAACTAAGTGAACGGTGTGACATTAATCAGACCTAGGCAGACAGCTATGGAGGAGCCCCGCTCTCATTACCTTGGCCAGTCTGAAAGCTGTGGTGGTCTCTTTCCAGTTTCCTGAGGTCGTCCCCCTTAACATTGGAGGGGCTCACTTTACCACACGCCTGTCTACCCTGCGGCGCTATGAAGACACCATGCTGGCTGCCATGTTCAGTGGGCGACATTACATCCCCACAGACTCCGAGGGCCGGTACTTCATTGACCGAGATGGCACACACTTTGGGTATGTCTCTTCCTTTACGATCAGCTCCACAGTCCTAGCAAGCCGGTAGCCTGGGATTCCGTCTTGGGTGTTGGCATGTTCCAGGGTACCAGAGGAGATATCCTAGTGGTGGAATTTAATAAATGTTCTTATTGACTTGGATTAAAATGCTTAGTTGCTTTGCCAGAGGACTTGAATATAGCAAGAGAAAAACAAAATTTTTTTTGAGACAGGGTTTCTCTGTGTAGCTCTGGCTGTCTTGGAACTCACTCTGTAGACCAGGCTGGCCTTGAAATCAGAGATCCTTTTGCCTCTGCCTCCCAAGTGCTGGGATTAAAGGCATGCGCCACCACCGTCCACTGGCAGGACTTTATGGAACTTGTCCCATCCTGTTCAGTTTGAGACTTGGGGAGTCATTATCTATATGGAGAGGAATGCACTTGGAGTCAGAGAATGTCAAAAAACGTCTTGGAGAAAACCTTTACATTTAGATCCTGGAGCTCAATGATACCACGTATGTTGGCATGGTGGCACTTGGTGGATAATCTTAGCTCTTGAGAGGTGGAAACAGGGGGATTACAGGTGTTGCTAGGTCAGCTCGGGTTATATAACAAGACCCTGACTCAACACTCAGATACCACCACCTACTCAACAGGGAGGAGGCATGGTCTGTAACAGTGACTCTGAGGTGGTTTAAAACAAAAAACGGTGAAGGAAAGGCTGATGCCGGATTGCTGCGCCTTCATTTTGCTAAGAAAACCTTAAACAAACAACTTGTGTTGTTACTGGGATTTTAATAATGACAACACACACACACACACACACACCCCACAGCCTCAATATATCTGATAAATATATATATATATATATATATATATCTCCTAAAGAAATGTATATGTGATTTGTACACCTTCCCATGAAAACACTTCTGACAAACCTTATACTGTCTCAGTTTCATTGTGGTTTTTTTTCTTTAAGATTTATTTTTATTTATGGGTGTGTCTCACTTGTATTCGGATGCCCTTAGAGGCCGCAGTAGGATGTTGGATCCCCTAGAACTGGAGTCACAAGCAGTTGTGAGCTGTCGTTGTGGGTGCTGAGAACTGTACTTGGGTCCTCTGGAAGAACAGCAAGTACTCTTAAACACTGAGCCCTCCTTCTAGCTGTCAGTTTCCTTGTTGATATGAGAAATGTTTGTTGCTGTGTTGTGGGTTTTTTTCTTTTACTCTTTGGTCTTTGGCTCTTTGGGGGGGGCCTGCTACCTGGCTCCCAAATAAATCACACCATGAGGCTTATTCTTACTTAAGTGCCTGGTCTTCGCTTGGCTTGTTTCTTGCCAGCTTTTCTTAACTTTAAGTTATCCCATCTACCTTTTGCCTCTGAGCTTTTTCCTTTTCTTCCTTCTGTAATCTTACTTTCACTCTTACTCTGTAGCTGGCCCCTGGCATCCTCCTCTCCTTGTTCTCTGGCTCTTTCTTCTTCTTCCAGATTTCTCCTTCTGTTTATTCTCTCTGCCTGCCAGCCCTGCCTCACTATTGGCCATTCAGCTCTTTATTAGACCATCGGGTGTTTTAGACAGGCACAGCAACACAGCTTCACAGAGTTAAACAAATGCAACATAAAAGAATGCAACACATCTTTGCCTCATTAAGCAGCATAAACAAATATAACACATCTTAAAATAATATTCTACAACATCGATGTCTTGTGGACTTGTCAGTGAGGGTTAAGTAAAGAGCCTGTGTGTGGCCCCAGCTAGGTCACATCTTCAGAGCACATGGCTGTCGTCCTCTGCTCCTTCAGTCTTAACTGTGGAGATAACTGGAGGATTGGCATGGCCTTTGACCTTGAACTGTTGGCCGGGAAGCAGAAACTCTTCAACTGATCTATACATCTTTGTGTTGACCTTCAAATAAGGTTGGCCTACAAGGGTCATTTTTGTCCTCAGAAAGGAGCCTCTGGCCAAATAATTTGTTTTTCAGTGTCTGCTTTTCCCCAGTGGGCTCTCAGCTGCCTCTGATGGTGAGAAAACAAAGTGTCACACCACTCTGTAACTATAAAAAGATTTTTGTTTGCAGGCCATTTGGGGAGGAAAGTGCTGGCCCCAGCTGGCAGCTCTTAGCTGGGCCTTGCCCAGGGCTCTGTTTGTCAGAGCTCATAAGGGTTTATTGAAGATCCCAGAAGACTGAATTCAAGGGGGTGGGGGTGGCTAGAGGGATGGCTCAGAGGTTAAGAGCGTGTACTGTGCCTGCAGAGGACCTGAGTTCAAGTCCCAGCCCCTGTGTCGGGTAGCTCTCCATAACTTGTAACTTTGGTTCCAGGGATCTGGCACTTTTGCCCTCTACAGTGTGCCTGTCCTCTGTGCACAAAGCCACACACTTGAAACCAAACAGTGAAGTAAAGATCTTTAAGACGGTTGTAGGGAGGGAGAACAGGATCCAAATTAAGGCTTATATATGCCGGTGCCCTGTTGGCCTTGGCTGGAAAGTGGCAAAAATGTAGCAGAAAGCAAGATGTAGTGGCGTTCATGCTTGGGATGCTGGAGGTCTATCGGCAGTAGATGGAATTTTCCAAAGATTCAAAGTATGAGTTCAGGGCATTAGGAAGGGTACACACATGTCTGCTGTTGTAACTCATGCATCGACACTGCCATCCTGGGGGCTGCTAGGGCTTCTGGAGAAGTCCCTCCTTGTGCATACAGGACTTTGGTTTGACTGCTTTTCATGAAGTCAGGACCATTGCGGTTGTAGGCTTAGAGTCAGGTGTGTCTGGACCTCAGCCTTTGCCGGCTGTGGCTCCTTCAACAAGTGTTTTCCATAACCTCTCAGGCCCCGGGCGGGCCTCATTTATAGACCAGAACTAAGAACCTGCCCTATAATGTCATTAAAAGGACCAAATAGGTGGCACATGATTAGTTGCTAATGCAGATTAATACTTAGTGTTAAGTCAGGTGATGGCGCATGCCTTTAATCCCAGCACTCAGGAGGCAGAGGCAGGTGGATCTCTGAGTTCGAGGCCAGCCTGGTCTACAGAGTAAGATCCAGGACAGCCAGGGCTACATAGAGAAACCCTGTCTCGAGAAACAAAATAACAAAAATAAAACCAAAAAAATAGTGTTAGCTCTTGTTGCATTATAGTTTAGATTAATTATTGATGTAACAGATTGATCTGGGGGTTTACTCACTGTCTTCCCATAACTACTGACGATAGGTCTGACTATTATTACTCTCAGCACTAACTAAAGAATCTGAAGAAGATTAGAAGGACTGAATATTCTGGGTGGTGGTGCATGATTTTAATCCCAGCACTTGGGAGGCAGAGACAGGCAGATCTCTGTGAGTTTGAGGCCAGCCTGGTCTACAGAGTGAGTTCCAGGACAGCCAGGGTAGTTACACAGCGAAACTCCATCTCAAAAAACCAACAAAGAAAAAAAAGAACTGAATATGTACTTTAAGAAACTAAATATGGCTTTACTTAGTTGTGAAACCAGTTAGTTTCCAAGTTGTTTGGTATCTTGTCTTCTCCATATAGCTACAGAATACTAATGGTAAGGATGTGAGACAAGTAGAATTTTGTTGTTGTTAATACTGCATGTGTAAAGCTACAATTATTGTATTATACACGCATTTATGTTCTGACTGAACTTTTTTGTTGTTGTTTTTGAGAAAGAGTTTCTCTGTGTAGCCCTGGCTGTCCTGGAACTCACTCTGTAGCCCAGGCTGGCCTCGAACTCACAGAGATCCTCTTGCCTCTGCCTCCTGAGTGCTGGGATCAAAGGCGTGCGCCACCACTGCCCAGTGAGGTAATTTTCTTACCTTCTTTCATTTTATAGGTGACGACACCAAGGCACACAAAGGTCATGTTTACTTAGCCAAAGTTACACAGCTGGCAATGTGGCCCACATTCTGCTCTAGCCACCTCGGTACCCGCCCCCCCCCCCCCCCAAACCCCATGGTCCTTATCTCCTTCTCACCCTTTCTCCTCACAGAGATGTGCTGAACTTCCTGCGGTCGGGGGACCTGCCACCCCGGGAGCATGTGCGGGCTGTGCACAAAGAGGCCCAGTACTATGCCATCGGGCCCCTCTTGGAGCAGCTAGAGAACATGCAGCCTCTAAAGGGCGAGAAGGTGCGCCAGGCCTTTCTGGGGCTCATGCCTTATTACAAAGGTAAGAGATCAGCTGCCCTGCACAGTTGGGAAAAGGGGTTGCAAAGGCTTCTTTCAGATCCTAGGCCTTTCCCCAAAGTGGGTAGGTCCAGCATGCATCCAGGTTAGAAGAAAATCTTCCCCTCTTTCAGTGACACTAGGGCTTTTCAAGTTGGGAAGAACATCACACACACACACACACACACACACACACACACACACACACACACACACACACACACACCTGCCACAGTCTTCCCAGGACTGCCAGCAGATCCAATTTCAAGAGGATTGCCCTCACCCTGTGTGGGTTTCCTAGCTTTGGAAAGCAATTGGGCCTTGTTGAAGTGTGCCCTTCCTGTGAGTCCATGGAGGCTCCTTGTGAAATCAGCCTCTTCCCCTCTGCCTCCTGTCACTGGGTATATGTCCCTGTTTTGTGTGTGTGTCTCTCTGTCCCCTCTATTCCACCTCCGTCCACTGATGGCTGTTGTTAAACTCTGTAGACCATTTGGAGCGGATCGTGGAGATTGCCCGGCTGCGCGCAGTCCAGCGGAAGGCCCGCTTTGCCAAGCTCAAAGTCTGTGTCTTCAAGGAAGAGATGCCCATCACCCCCTATGAGTGTCCACTCCTCAACTCCCTGCGCTTTGAGCGGAGCGAGAGTGACGGACAGCTCTTTGAGCACCACTGTGAAGTGGACGTGTCTTTCGGGCCCTGGGAGGCAGTGGCTGATGTGTATGACCTGTTGCACTGTCTGGTCACGGACCTGTCAGCCCAGGGCCTCACAGTGGACCACCAGTGCATCGGGGTGTGCGACAAGCACCTTGTCAACCACTACTACTGCAAACGCCCCATCTATGAGTTCAAAATCACATGGTGGTGAGCAGTCCTGCTAGGCAAGGGTCCCATGAAGGAGGCTGTCCGTCCATCCTCTTGGGTGGCTCTGGGAGTCTGATCCCCAGAGGAGCTGCTGACTGTCCCAGAACCTGCTGAGGTGAGGACAGAGCGCCGAGGCACAGATGCAGAGGCTCGGGTGCTGCTGCCGTCTCCCTGGCTCCGCTACCTTGGGGACTCAGTCTGCTCTCACCTGGTCTTTTCCTCGAGGCATGGCGGCGGTCTTCACTGGAGGCCACGGGACCTAGTGAGGACGTCACTGGGAGTCCAGAGAGGTTTGATACCTTCTTGACACCGTGCAGGAGTGCTTCTGCCCATGTGAGAGCCGTGTCACTGAAGGAGGTGTCACCACTTTCTCACCCCGTCCGAACATTCCTGTGCTCGGTGTGTTAGTCGGAATAAGGAGTGCGGTAGGGGATTTACCCAAGTATCACCCTGTAGCCCTGGCCAAAGAAGAGAGAGTCCCTTCCCTCCCAGTGTGCTCCTTGCTCCTCGGTGCCTGAAGCACCTTGTCTTAGTGTGGAAAGATACATCCTGTGCTCCCAGAACATACCTGTCACCTTCTCTTGGAGATTAACCACCGCTGCCAAAGCCATGTACCAGTTGGGCCTTAGAAAAAAACAAACAAACACAATGTTTACAGCCCTGCCCTGGGGCTTTGGCTTTACCTTCCTTGCAGAGTCATTCTCTCACAGGACTGACGATTCCCCCAGTCAGGCAGACACCGAGTCTAGATCTCTTGACATGTAGCATCCCTCTCGGGGGCCGAGAGCACGGCCCGCTGCCAAGTCTTGTGTTAGGATCCAATGTGGTGGACCTCCGGAAGGGACACCCTCTTTCTTTGGTATTGTTTCTTCAGGGTCGGGGGCCGAGGAACATAAGTCCTGGGTTGGAGGCGCAGCCGTCCTGGGGGCTGAAGGTGATGGAAGTAGACTTATGTGTTCTACTTCCTGTTTCAGAAAGAGAAAACAGTCCACAATAACTTCTTTCTCTTCAGCCAAGGTGCAGCATGGATCCCCTAAAGAGAGAGTAGTGTAGCTCTCCTCTGAGAGCATTGCATGTCCAGGCTGCACAGTGGGTAATCATGGGTGTCCTTGACCATTCCTGGATAGTATTTTCCTTTTAATTCAACTTTTTTTTTAATGTAAGGAGTTGTAAGGGCAGCACCACCAATATCAGTCTTGTAGGATCAGAGTGGTCCAGTGAGGCACTGGGGGGTTAAGAGCATCCATGTGCTTCAGAGAACTAGAAGGCCAAGGCCTGGGCACTGAGCTAAATTCCTGTGCGCCATAGGTGGAGGGCAGTGGCTTCCCCAGGCTCTGGTAGAAACACCTTGTTTTTGAATTTGTGTTTTACTCTGAGTGTAACAGAGGTAGAGACTGAGGTCCAAGAGGGAGTGAGAAGCAGTCATCTTCCAGGATGCCTGCTCTCTCTGTTCTCCTCAGCAAATAATAGCATCTTCTGGGGTGCTGATGCCCCTGCTTGGCGCTTAGCCCGACACTATGGCTCTGGCCTTGTCGTAGCAAAGAGGTTCTTTATTTAAATAGACTTTATTTCTGTTTTTCCGACAGGGTCTCATGTAGCCCAGGTTGGCCTCAAATTAGCTGTATAGCTAAGGATGGCCTTATATTCTTGACCTTCCTGCCTCTACCCCTGCCCCCCCCCAGTGCTCTGGGGGGTATAGGCATGTCCCACCACACCTGGCTCTGTGTTCCTTTCTTTTTTAATAGCTAGTGAAGCCCACCATTGAGGATGATGTCCATAGGAGTAGAGAGCCGACAGGTAAGCCTGGGGCTTTTAGGAACTGGGCCTGGGGCTCTTTCCATTCCTGCTGTAGAGTCCTTCAATGCTTGGAACTTTAGAGTCCACAGACAGAAGACAGAGAAAACGGATCTGCTCCAAAACCAGGCCCAGACTGCTTGCTTAAGGTCACAAGGATTCTGGGTAAAGACATTGTCTCTGTGACTTGCTGGAGACACTTTTTCCGTCCCCTCTTTTATTCTCAGGATGACATGTTTTGTGTCATTGTGACGAGAATGCTCCAGGCCACTGGAACAGGCAGAGGAGGGGCACTCAATAACCAGCTCAGAATCCCCTCCCCTTTCAATTCCTTTTTTTTTTTTAATAGTTGACTTGATGTTTGCAATATTAGGGCAGACCATGTGATGAATCTTCGTGTGTGTGTGTATGTGTGTTTTTTAATAACAAAACCCTTTGCATTTTTAAGCCAGTGACTTCTGTACTTTCTTGCAGCACAGAAACTTTTCTTTGTACTAAAAAATATATTTATTATAATCACAATTCTTCCTTGACTAGTGAAATAGAAATATGGAATATAAAATAAAGCAATATATATTGGGATCTGGGATGTGGTTTCATGATAGAAGACCTACCTACTATGCACAAGGCCCTGGGTTCCCTCCCCAGCACCACCAAAAAAAAAAAAAAAAAACAGTATCATGTCACAGTGTATCTTTGCTGTATGGGCCTCTACACTCACTTTCTGCTCACCTCTCTTGGGGCTTTTCTTAAATGAAATAAAAGAATTCATCAGCCTGTTTGGGCCTCTCTAATAAGAAGCTGAAACCATTCTGAAGTGTGCTATTGTATGTGGCGGCTGAGTATGGCTTCCAAATAAAGGGGTCATGTCTGTGGAAATTGTCTGTCTGTCTGTCTGATCCCTTTCCAGTTGCAATTGCTCGGGCCCAGACCAAAAGACTTGTAAGGAAGGTTTGTCCTTGATCTGCAGGAAGTACATCCTTAAAATCCTTTGTGCATCATGTCAATCAATGGCTCTCATCTGGTTGGAGTCAGACCAGTCATTGCTGAATCAGCCCCAAGTGCCTGCCCTAGAGCTTCCCTCCTGCTTCACTTCAGGCATCTTCTCTCCTGGGTAACATGCTCACTGGTTGGGAAGATGAAAGGTTTCATAGCACCACATGGTACAACTTCAGCCTCAGCGGAAAGCAATACAAATAGAGTCACAGCAGAGAAGACTGAGGCAGAGCCACATTGAAACAGAACATCCCAAGGGATGTGTGTGTGTGTGTGTGTGTGTGTTTTGGGGGAGGGGGGAGACTTCACTGTTACTGATGTAATAATCACCATCCATAACCTACCTCTGTGTGTTCGCCTGGCTGCCCAGTACTTCCTGAAAGCCAACAGTCTTCAGGAATCTCCTGTTCTTTTCTCTCGGGCTTTAGGCTAATTGCGAACTAACAGCCTGAGCTTTGTGTCCCAGGCTGATCAAGCTCAGAGTGCTCCCTGGAGTACTAACACATACCTCCAATACAGAGCAAGCGGTGGGAGGGGATGGTTGTGTGATGCTGGGCTGAGTCTTAAGACAAACATCACCCAAAACACTTTTCACACAAAGCATTTTGATCCTAGGAAGAATCTCAAGTGTCCTGCATATTTTTAAACCGTATTTGATCGTAATGTAAATAGTTAAGCTCTCTTGGACTTCTGCACACGCTGTTGCCTGGAGCAGATGCCCATCCCATGACTCTTAAGGGAGCCTTCCCTTATCTGAAGGTAGGATGTTGGGAACTGGGATGGGAGAGAGATATTTTTGGAATTCTGGGGAAAATATATATGTACTGGGGAGGGTTAGATTGGGAATGTGGGAACAGATTGGGCGTGGGAACAGGCACGTACTTCTGAGTGTGGGAGGTCAGCTGGGCCCAATGTCTTCATTTGCATAGTTTTGGTTTTGTGTTCAATAACATCACTGTCTGGGACTACTCTCGCATATAGAGCCTCAGTTCCCTTGGATGACATTACAGTCAAGGACTAGAACCCGGTGCTGTGCCTTTCGTTTCTGACTTAGGTCATCCCTCCTTTGCTGGCTAATGTCTCTTGACCACTGCTTTAGATCTGGGGTCTAGGGATGCCACAATAAAATAATAAATAATAACCTAGCTCTCCCTGGAGACCAGCGCTGGACTTCTGGGCTAGCTTGAAGTTGAGGGGAAGTTGTCCTGAGAATGCCTGCCCCTATGGAAGCTTAGACAGGAGCGTGCCCACCCTAGCACAAGAAGTCGCTAACAACAACAACAACAACAACAACAGCAAATCCCTCTCTCCAATCACCACTTCTTTTTCAAGGGAGAAATAATGGCTCTAATTAGCGTGTATGAGCCTCAGTAGTTAAGATCAAGATCCCTGAAGAAATGAATGGAATTTGTTTTTTTCCCTTGAAAGCAGAGTGTGACACCTCCTTGGCTAACCTCATCCAGACATGCCTTGGAGTCACTTCCTGGACTGACCACACAGATGAATTCTGAAGTGCCTAGGGCTGCACAGCTGTCTAGTACAATTGTTCTCAACCTGGGGGTCATGACCCCTTGGTACTCCTGTATCACATCTTGGCATTACGATTCCTAACAGTAACAGAATTAGTTATGAAGTAGCAATGAACGTTTTTATGCTTGGTTATCACCACAACATGAGGAACTGTATTAAAGGGTTGAAGCATTGGGAAAGCTGAGAACCACGGGTCTTGTTGCTTCCCTTAAATCTCTGATTTGTCCGACTGTTAATGAAAGCTTTGCTTCATCCTTGCTGAGTGTTGTCCTTGGCCCACTGACAATGTAACACCTTACCCATTGGAGGTGAGCTTCCAGGTCAACCCAAACAGCAGAGCCAGGGTTCAGGTGCGAGCAGAGACCGCCCTCCCTCGTGCAGATCAATAGGGACCTCCAAAGCTCTGGGCATTACCCTGCCTAACAGTGGAAACTTGAAAAGTACATCTGAGAGCTTCCTTAAGTCAGGCACCCACAGTCTCAGTTACCTGGGAAGATAAGGTAGGAGGATTAAACCCAGGAGTTCGGGGGCTAGCTTGCTCCAATGATTTTTGATTTTTTTAAATGAAGATGATGGGACTTATTACAGAATAATTTGAGGCACATTCAAAGTTGAGAGTGAGCAGTGACCAAAGGGACCATTGCAGGGGAAAACAGAATGGCCAGAGACAAATGTTGAATTTCTGTCAGGTGCTGTGGGATGTCTTTCTGTACACTGTAAATATTTTTTCACTGATTGGTTGATAAATAAAGCTGCATTGGCCTATGGCAAGGCAGCTTAGAGGCAGGCAGGAAATCCAAGCAGATATACAGAGAGAAAGGAGAAGAGAGAGAGATGCCAGCCACCGTCCAAGGAGCACCACCCAAGGAGATGCAAGGTGCCAGCGGACCGGTAATGCCATGGCCACATGACAACTTAATAAAAATGGGTTAAGTTATAAGAGCTAGCTAGCAAGTTGCCAAAGGCCATACAATTGGTAATTAATACTAAGCCTCTGAATGATTATTTTATAAGCAACTGTGGGGCCCATGGGCTGGGTGGGACTGGAGAAACCTTCTGGCTACAGTCAGGCTTTTTTGTTGTTGTTGTTTTAACAATGGTCTTAAATATCTGGATCTGGCCTCCAACTCACAGAGGTACGTACACCTGTCTCTGCCTCCCAAGTGCTGGGATTGAAGGTGTATGCACCACCACCCTTGGCTTTTTTTTTTTTTTTTTTAAGATTTTTTTAGGTGGAGCCATGTGTATACCGACCAGGTGCTCACAGAGACCAGAAGAGGGCTTCAGATCCCCTGCCACTGGAGTTACAGATAGTTTTGATTTGCTCTGTGGTGCTGGGAATCAAGCCTGGGTCTTCTAGAAGAGCAGCCAATGCTTTTAAACACTGGGACATCTTTCCAGCGCCCCACGCCTCATTTTTTGGAGATAGTCTCACTGTGTAGCTGTGCTTGTCTTTGAACTGGTCCTGCCTCTGTTGCTGGAGGTAAGGGGTTACATTGAAAAGAAGGGACTACATGCCAGGCTGCTGCTTTTTCTCTTTTGTTTGTGTGTTCAGGGCTGGGGATTGGACCCATGTGCCTGCATATGCCAAGCAAGTCTTCTAAGGCCAAGCCATATCCTCGGGCTCAAACCCTGACCTTTTTTTTTGTTTGTTGTGTGGTTGGTTGGTTTTTTGAGACAGGGTTTCTCTGTGTAACAGTTCTGGCTGTCTTGGACTAGCTCTGTAGACCAGGCTGGCCTTGAACTCACAGAGATCCTCCTTCTTCTGTATCCCGAGTGTTGGGATCAAAGGTGTGCGCCACCACCACCACCTGGCCAAAACTTTATTTTTTTATTATTTAATATAATTTCCTTATTGCATCTTTGGGGATTTCACATCATGCATCCTAATTCTGCTCATCCCCAGTCCCTCCATATCCTCCCCTCCTCCTGCTGCACCCCCTCAAAAGAAAATTAAACACAAAATCAAGCAAACAAACAAGAACAAAAAGACATACACACCTTCACTTCTCTTTCCCACCTCTCCATTCATCCTGGGGGCATTGGGAACTGAAGTGTGTCACATGGTATTCCCTTTTGTTCGATCAGCTTTACCTGGTATGGTTCAAGGCCTCTGGAAACCCTGACTCTTAGCTGAAAGGAACCCTAAGCTCAGAACATTAAAGGGCCCCTCAATTCTTAGCCCGTTTTGATTTCCTCTTTCTCTTTTGAAGCAGGCTCTCGTGGAGCCCAATCTGACCTTCACCTTGGTATTCCACTGCTGAGTTCTGGGGTCCCTTGTGGGTTCCACCTTGACATTAATTGATTGTCCTTGTGCCTGTGAGGTGGAGGAAGGCCTTGCTCCTGCGACAGTGAGTTCAGGGTGACCTCCACGGTGAGTGACGGCTTGCTGGCTGGGCCCTAGGTCTGGGAAAGCCTGAGGTAGTGGAGCTGCAGCCCTGCATGTACACACCGGGCATTTCAACATGTGTGCGGGGGGTGGGGTGTGTGTGTGTGTGTGTGTGTGTGTAACCAGGATATGGCCTCTCTTCCGGGAACCTGTGGTGTTGGGAGAGTTGAGCTCTATGTTCAGTTGCTCCAGGTCTGGCTTTGGCTCATGGCCCTTAGACTCAGGATTTCTACACAAAGGTGTGAACCTTTGGCTTTGTGAACGTGTCTTTTGAACTGATTTACGTACCAGTTCATTTTTGGTTGTATTTACAGCAGGATCCCTTAAAGTTTTTATATCCTTTGTTTCCTGTCTTGTTCTTGAGCTTCTCTCTCTCTCTCTCTCTCTCTCTCTCTCTCTCTCCTCATCTCCCTCCTCTTCCTTCTTCCCATTCCCTTCTCTGTTTCTGCTTGATTGTTTTGTTTTGGTAGCCCAGGCCAGCCTCCGACTTGCAACAATCCTCCTGCCTCTGGGATGACAGGCACGCACTATCATCCTCTCACACAACTTCTAAACAAAGGCCACGTGTGAGTAGGATGCTGATGAAGGCAGTTGTTAACCTGTGACGGCTGCTTCTTCCCAGTCACCTTGGGAGTGTTCCCATTCGCTGTGAGCTTATGTGCTTCATTTCTTCCTTAGGTGAATGCCCGCTTCTAAATCTAGGAAACCGACAGTGCTACTGTAGAATTCATACCGTGGGGTTACCTACCAGTTCCAGGAGCCAGAATTGTACTTCCTCTTCCAAAATCTCACACTCCCCAACATAAAATAACAGCCAGAGTAGCCTTTGGATTGGGGCAGTCCTTTTTTTTTTCTTTCTTTTTT